CTGAATTAGACATCAGGACAACCGTAAGAATCAAGCTTTCCTATGTACACGACAAGATCGACGAGGGGGCGAGGGTGAATCTGTTATAACAGCTTAATGCAGACGAGCATCATTTGAAAGGTCGTCCGTGACAGGAGATTCAGCCACTGGAGTGCCGGGTGTAGGTTCAAGGGGCACCGAGGTAGATGCCTTAGGTAACTCAGTCGGTTCAGGTTCGGGATCGACAGTATCTGTAACAGCTTGTCCAACAGGGGCCAGATCTCGGAGTGACACGGTAGACTGTCGTACATCAGGGAACCGAACGTGGGCGTACTGTGGATTGGCTTCCAGAAGGTCAACCTTGTCAACCAGAGGGTCGTACTTACTGTTCCTTGGTAATGTACCATTTGTTCAGCCCTGACTTCCATTTATACACCTCTATCATATCGCCCCTCACTCAACGTCTCTCGAGGGAGTGCAAATTAAGATGCTTTAACCTGTCTCTGTACTCAAGGTTCCTAATGCCCGGGATTGTCAGTCTCCTCTGAATTCTTTCCAAAGATTCTATATCCATTCTGTAATACGGTGACCAGAATTGAACTACGTAATCCAGGTGAGGTCTCACAAGCGCAAGGTATAGTTTTAAGACGACATTGCTAGTCTTGTAACTAGCACTCCTTTGTATGAAACCAAGTACTTTATTAGCCTTGTTACGAGCAAAAACACATTGTTTACTTGGCTTAAGATTTCTGCTTATCATTACTCCTAAATCTTTCTCGCAGTCGGATTTCTCAATAACATCGTTGTTCATCTGGTATCTGGTTTCCCTTTTTACATCTCCTATACCGAGTACTTTACATATGTCCACATTGAATTTCATCTCCCATTTTTCAGACCATTCGAAAAATTTGTTTAAATCTTCCTGTAGATTTGCGGAGTCCTCGTCAGATTTAATTACACGCCCTAGTTTAGTGTCATCAGCAAATATACTTTATGTTGCTGTCTACGCCGATATCTGTCTTTTTTGTATATAATAAATAATAATGGTCCGAGTACTGAGCCTTGGGGAACTCCACTAGTGACATTGCTCCAATGGGATTTAGTGCCGTTAATGTTCAATCACTGTTTCCTGTCTTGTCACCACGCCCTAATCCATTTTAGAATATCTCCTTTAATGCCATGAGCCTCCACTTTTCTTATTAGTCATTCGTGGGGGGGACTCTGTCGAAGGCTTTGCTAAAGTCGAGATATGCCACATCATAATTGTGCCCCTTGTCCACTGATTCGAAAACAGATGAAAAGAATATTAATAGATTAGTTAGACATGAACTTGTGCTTCTCCAGGAGATTTCGAATAGAGTTTGAAATGATTGATTCCAGTAATTTGCCTACAATTGATGTTAGACTGATTGGTCGGTAGTTAGAGGATAGTGATCTATCTCCCTTCTTGAAAATCGGTATAGCGATATCCTCCAGAATTCTGGTACTACACCCGTTTTTAAGGACATGTTAAACAACTTTGTTTAGGGCATACTAAGCTGTTCCTTACATTCCTTTAATACTCTGGCAAATATCTCATCGGGACCTGGTGACTTATTAGGCTTTAGTTGGTCTATTTGCTTACTAACATCGTTACTAGTCACTACTATCTCGCTTAATTTATTTTCCTCACTATCTCTGTATAGAGTCGGTGCCTCGGGTATCATGTTTATATTTTTGGTGGTGAAAACTGTTGAAAAATTTTTATTCAGATTATTGCTCATTTCTCCGACGTTATCAGTTAACTCGCCGGTATCTGACTGTATTGGTCCAAAATTTTCTCGTGTTTTAGCTTGATACATTTGATAGAATCCCTTGGGGTTTTACTTCGCCTCTCTTGATACCTTAAGTTCATTATTCCTCTTTGCTTTTCTTATCTCGGTCTTAACCCTACCGGCCAATTCCTTATAATAATCTCGGAGGTAGACTTCACCACGATTTATTCTTCTACCTTTGTCCAATAACATTCTTTAAATAATTATTTATCCATTTAGGGTCATTGTTGTTTGATCTGAGTTTTCTGTATGGCATGTTCTGCCAGGTCTCCAGGTAAAGTGAGGTCGCCCTCTTTGGGTACAATGTGTGAGGTCACCTCATGTGAGGTCATGTAATTCACCCCCAAGCGTGATACCCCTTCTCTCAGCTGCCTCTTCAAACTATCAAAGTTTGCCTTAATGAAATTTTCCTTGCGGCTGCCCTGAAATTCTACCTGGAATCTAATTTCTTTGTGATCGCTGTTAGCAAGTTCGTTCCCTACCTCGACATTACTACTGAGGTTTTCTTTGTTTGACAGAACTAATTCGGGTATATTATTACCCCGGGTGGGTTCGGTTATATGTTGGCTTAGTAAACAGTCCAGGATTGTTTCAAGAAAATCCTCTGATTCTGAGTTACCTGTAAGGTCAATCCAATCTATTTGACTAAAGTTAAAGTCGCCTACTATACAGACTTTGCTATGTATGGAAGCCCTGCGCATTTCATCTCAAATAAGTCGCTCAATAAATCTATCAAGATTAGGATGTCTATATATTACTCCTGTGATTAATTTTTCCCGACCATCGATTAATTCTATCCAAATTGTTTCTGTATTCCGCTCTGCTTTAATTTCCTTATTTATTTCACACTTCAGATTATCCCTGACATAGATTGCTACTCCACTTCCTTTCCTAATCTGCCTATCGGTAATGAATAATTTGTAACCTGCAATTTGGTATTCGACAGGAAACTCACGTTAGTTTAGGTTTATCCATGTTTCGGTGAAGGCTGGTGTTGAGGCGGTGCTCTTAGTTACCGAAGTTCACCTCAAACTTCTTTACTTGAAGATTTACCGAGTCACCCTCTCTTGCTCCACCGAAGGAACTTCTTATGAATCTTGTCTATATTAGCTTGTAATATTTTTGGGCCCCGAAAGTCATTTCATCACAGAGTTCTTGAAACAATAATGGCTACATTTTTGTAGACTATGAGAAGTTATTATTTGTTTTCAATAGGTGATGGACTAGTGTTATTATTAACCTTGCTACGCTCTTATCTTTCCAGTCGATTGTCGCGTTTTAGAATTTTTATTCTGGTTACTGCTAGATGATTTTTTCAGCGTAAGGAAACTTCCAAGAGCCAAAGGGTTAAAAATCTTTGTTGAATCTTAGTAATACATTAAATAGCCAACGTTTAGTATGTCATTGTACCGAGTAATTTTCATGTCACTGAACACTTATATTAACCCGAAGGAACAAATTACGTTTTGTTATTAATTCTAAATAGCCAGAATATACAGTATTAAGTCACTACCTACTGTGTACTGTTACACGCTGTACCTACTGTGTACTGTTACACGCTGTACCTACTGTGTACTGTTACACGCTGTACCTACTGTGTACTGTTACACGCTGTACCTACTGTGTACTGTTACACGCTGTACCTACTGTGTACTGTTACACGCTGTACCTACTGTGTACTGTCACACGCTGTACCTACTGTGTACTGTTACACACTGTACTTACTGTGCACTGTCACACTGTACCTACTGTGCACTGTCACACGCTGTGCCTACTGTCTCCTGTTACACGCTGTACCTACTGTCTACTGTTACACGCTGTACCTACTGTGCACTGTCACACGCTGTACCTACTGTGTACTGTCACACGCTGTACCTACTGTGTACTGTTACACGCTGTACCTACTGTCTACTGTTACACGCTGTACCTACTGTCTACTGTTACACGCTGTACCTACTGTCTACTGTTACACGCTGTACCTACTGTCTACTGTTACACGCTGTACCTACTGTGCACTGTCACACGCTGTACCTACTGTGCACTGTCACACGCTGTACCTACTGTGCACTGTCACGCTGTACCTACTGTGCTCTGTCACACACTGTACCTACTGTGCTCTGTCACACGCTGTACCCTGTCTCTACTGTTACACGCTGTACCTACTGTGCTCTGTCACACGCTGTACCTACTGTGCTCTGTCACACGCTGTACCTACTGTTGCTCTGTTACACGCTGTACCTACTGTCTACTGTAACACGCTGTACCTACTGTGTACTGTCACACTGTACCTACTGTGTACTGTTACACGCTGTACCTACTGTACCTACTGTGTACTGTTACACTGTACCTGTGTACTGTTACATACCTACTGTGTACTGTTACACGCTGTACCTACTGTTACTGTTACACTGTACCTACTGTACCACGCTGTACCTACTGTGTACACTGTACCTACTGTGTACTGTTACACTGTACCTACTGTGTACTGTTACACGCTGTACCTACTATGTACTGTTACACGCTGTACCTACCTGTGTGTACTGTTACACGCTGTACCTACTGTGTACTGTTACGCTGTACCTACTGTGTACTGTTACACGCTGTACCTACTGTGTACTGTTACACGCTGTACCTACTGTGTACTGTTACACGCTGTACCTACTGTGTACTGTTACACGCTGTACCTACTGTGTACTGTTACACGCTGTACCTACTGTGTACTGTTACACGCTGTACCTACTGTGTACTGTTACACGCTGTACCTACTGTGTACTGTTACACGCTGTACCTACTGTGTACTGTTACACGCTGTACCTACAGTGTACTGACAAGTGGAGAATTCAGAAAGTTGCCTTGGTAAAAGTAAGTGAAATCAAAATTATATTAACCCTTTAACTTAACCCAAGTTAAGATATATGCAAACATCTCATCTACAGAGATCTATCTCTCATAATTTTTAATGATTGTTGGATTAGTGTATTAGTAACCTTGTTGTTCGCTTAAGAGTCTCCCTGTTGAAACCCTGTAATAACTTTATAAAAACAACAACCTACACAAGACGCAACAGTACAAGATTCGATTACTCTTTAATAAATTAATTTTAAGGTCTTGAAAGATAATAAATGTTTCCTTACTCACAGTCCACTGCTAAACATTATATTCTGTTAATTCTCTTATTAATGAGTTTCGTGCATTTTTCTCACTCAGGCAAGAAGCCGGCGGCCATGCAGCACGGCAGGAACCAGGTGGGTGGTGGAGGGGTAGCTGCCTGTCCCTGCCCGGCGGCGCTTCTGTTGGCTGCCTGCCTCACCTGCCTTCTGGCCTTCCTTCCCACACACCAGCCTCCACCCCGCCTCCACCACGCCCTCTACTGACCCGCACTGACCTTAACTGGTGGCAGCTGCGCCTAAATCAACTTCTCCCACGGGAAACAAGTTCTGGGTTGTTTTATCCACCAGGACAATCTTCAATAGGGAAAACCTTGACATAGCTCACGTCTGCCTACGTTAGCCAATCGTCGGATAGCCTACTCCAGTGCTGCGTTAAGAGCACCGTAGGCCAGTTTTAACAAAGTTATCTCTTTCAAGCTCAATGCTACCCAAGCGTAGTTCTAGTCCATTATTTGCCTAGGTCATCTTGCGCTGTTATCATCCTGAAGATCTGAACCGAAGCCCATACCTACAACATGTTCAGTCTTTCTCAGCTTAGGTCATCATCAACCTGCCTAAGATAAAGTTATCCTCAATCTGCCTCTAGGTTACAAAAGTCTCAAAATGTGGCGAATTCCTTTTTTTATGGAGAACTTCCGTCAAGTTTTTCCATGAATCATCCTTCAGTTTGGATGAGGTTGATCTTTTTCACCCAAGTGTAGATGAACTACTGAGTTGAGTGAATGAACGTATTCAGGCGAGAATTAAATTGTTGCTGCAGTTGTTGAGGTTCACAGACGAACTACTACAGAGGTTCACAGACAAACAGCTCCAGAGGTTCACATACAACAGCCACAGAGGGATACGGACAAACGGCTACAGAGGTTTGTGTTTTAAATGTTTTCATCTGAAAAAAAAACACTTTCGGGAGGCAAAATTCATGATTAAAAATTAAATTTTCACTGATTATGAATTTTATATACGAAATTATTTTGTCGTAGTGTGTGTGTGTGTGTGTGTGTGTGTGTGTGTGAGAATATTAATATTCTAAACTTGTTTTCGTACTATTACTTAGCAATTAGTTAACTGATCGTTGGCAATATTTTCAATATTTATTTTATTTCAATTTAATTTTAGTTTCCCATTATTTCTATTAAACAAACACACACACACACACACACACACAGGCGTATCTTGAGACCAGTAAGTTGACCCACTTAGCATGTATTGACCAAAGTATTGACGGTGCAATTCAAAAGTGGTATTTAGTGTTAGTGTCTATCCTATTCCACTGTAAATCCTCATATTTAGAGAGCTAAGAGAGATTCATATACATTTATATGAATATTAGAAACGCTACTGTAAATACCTGGTACCTCGTGTCTGGTTGTGTCTGGCAAGCGCTTGACTACTGCAAAGACCATTGACTTATCTGAGGCAATAGAAGGGTGAAAGACCTGTAAGGACCGTGTGGTCTATGAGAGAAGAAAGAAGGAAAAGGAGAAGAACCAAAGCTGTTACGAGAATGGAGTTAAAGACTGAAGGCAACGAACCATTGGAAACAGGTCTTTCAATTGAAGAAATCTTGAGAAAGAAGAAATAAAAATTAATAGGACGCCGAGATGCACAAACAATTCAGGTGACTCACGACTTAATGATATAAGTAAAAAAAAAAATAGCGAATTGTTCCTGCGGTTAAGGAAAAAAAATGGTACCAGCTGTCAGCTAACAAGTGGATTCTTTAATTACTTAACAAAGAAGAAAGAGGAGACACAAAGACTAAACAAGATTGTGCCCGGAGAGTGATTAAAACTGGCAAGCGTTGTGTGTAACAACAGGAATGAGAAGGAAACTTGGTGATAGCCTGTTAACCGAGGGCCAAAAACTCATTAAAGAGGCAAGGAAGAAGGAGTAGTTAAGGAGTTGGAAAGCAATTACGATGACAAAGAAGACGAATTTGTGGGAGTCTTGAGAATGACAAGCAGATAGAGAGAAAAAAATGCGTAAAGTGATTTCATTGTTACAAAGATTCTATAAATTTGTGTCTAAGAGAGAGAAAAAATATAGTAGGATTATAAAAGGGTAAAAGTGATGAAAAAAAACAATAATGTAAAGAAGGATTGAAGAAGTGAAGGAGAGAGTGCTTAAGAAATAGAAGAGTAAGTATAAGACAAACTGATACAATAAAAATAAAGAAAATATAACAGTAAGAGTGTTAGATAAAATTGAACAAGTCTAAAAAAAAATGGCCGGGAAAAATACAGGGTGACCATAAATGATTACCCTGATTAAAGGATGAGAGCATACTGTTTTTAGGGTAATCAGTTATGGACACCCTGTGTTTTCCTGTTTTACCACCAATGGCAGTAGTGTCCACACGGGTTCCCACATTCCCGCCGGCCTCACCAGCTAGCCCGGGCCCCACACACGAAATTCTTCTCGCAAACAGAAGAAGCCTGAGAGTCACATAATTTATCTCCGAAACAAATTTATTTCTATATTCAGGTTGAGGTTAAGGGGTAACCATAAGTCCAACACCGGAAGAGTCATCATAAACTGCTTATGCTGATAGTTCTAACCCGGCAACTCGTTGATCGGACTTGGAAAAGTATCGATCCAAAATAGTGAGGTGCATGGTTCAATATGAACAGTTATACACTGTAGTAAATAACGTATACAAAAAATCTTTATTGGAAGTATATCATAGCATCGCCCTGTCTTATAAGGCCCCCTGACGTTCAACCTGAGGAGAGATATAAGTGTACAAATTGAACAAGTCCGTGACCATCGCAGTGCTGCTTTACCCCAGGCGTATAAATTGTGTTAAGTTGTAACCTATGAAGGGTTCTACTAAATGCGATTGTAATGTGCCGTTATGGCTTGTAGATTCAGGCTCTCTTGATATAAACTACAATGAAGTAATAATAATTAAAACAACCAATAAATACTTCTAATAATAATAACAATAATAATAATAATAACAATAATAATAATAATAATAATAATAAAATAAAGTGTCCTATTCTTATTATTTCACATAAAACAATTATATAAATAACTGACATTCGCCGTATAGTTTTATAATGAAAGGTAGGAAAAAATGGACTTTATTTAGTGTGTTGATGTGAAACATGGGTAAAGTTTATAGTGAAGGAGAAATACCTAATGCCACAGTAAATTGCTCGAGGTATGCCCGTAACCTGTACCATGTGGGGGCATATTCAGAGGGTGTACCATATGCTCTGTAAATTGCTCGAAGGTACACAAAGGTAACACCATATACTCTGTAAATTCCTGGGTTACACCTACAGTACCTACTATATGCTCTGTAAGTTGCTGCCACCTTGTTCCAGCCAGACAAGACAAGTAACCAGTTGTGTTTATTTCACCATTTTGGGATACAGCTGTCGTCAGTGACCATGGTGTAAGCGCGGAGAAGATATTCTTGTGGTGTAGACAGATAGTTTTCTTTATAAATTAAAAGTCTTGATTCATCATTAACGGTAAAACTGTTGAGTGTTTTGTTGTAATGGGTGATGTAAGGAGTTGTAGAATCACCCGAATATGTTGAAAACGAAGACATGACATTGTAGTCCTTCAGCGTCACCGACGTGTATGTTTCATTACTGATCACTCCATAACCTTCGGCTCTCGACAAACTAAGAAATATCTCACTTAGATCTTGGCTGTTTTGACATACTTATATTATGTAAAGCAGGAAGGTGTCCTCATTGTGGCAGGTCGTTCCTGTATATCAAGCTGAACTTGTATGTTTGCTTGTTCCTGCACGGAAGTTGGTAGTGGGTGGCAGCATATATATGAGGGGTCATTCAAGCATGGCATATCGCTATTGTACAGTGCATTATTACTCGTGTGTCTTTTGAAATTCAGTCACACATAACATTAAATATTATCTGGTGATGTTAAAGAACACAGATGTCTCTCCTCCTCGTCTTGTCTCAGTGAGAGAGATGAAAGGAATGTGTATCTGTCGTTCACTGGCTGGGACACCTTGGCAACGTTCGTCCGCTACTTTGTGTTGTCTACTTTAAGTCAATTGTATAGTGCATGCTCTAATAAATGTTATAATTGTGTTGAAGGATCAAATTTAGAAGTGGTCATCTATTCCAGTCGATCCAATGGTCCAGTCGATCCACTGGCCGAGCTGGTTCAATGGTCCAGTTAATCCACCGTCCCAGTCGATCGACTACTCGAGCTACTTCACTGGAACAGTAAATTCACTTATCTAGTCGTACCATTGAAAAAGTCGCGGTACTTTGACCCGATGAGGTACACAGGTTCCGCTGGTAAAGTCGGCCAGTCAGACTCGGCGCGCTTGTGATGTTGTTGTTTGTGTACATTATACAAACACTACTGCCCTCTGTTCCTTATATATATATATATACATATATATATATATATATATATATATATATATATATATATATATATATATATATATATATATATATATATATATATATATATATATATATATATATATGAATGCTTAAGCAAATAAATAATGTATATAGTATATGTGTAAAAAATATCCATCAGAATTGTAGTAATGATCTGACGAACTTTATAATATAATTAATTATTTATTCCACATGTATAATTTACTGTTCCAAGTTACCATGTACTATGTGTCTCGCACCTGAGACACAGCTATGTTGCTCTCTCTCTTTATATATATATATATATATATATATATATATATATATATATATATATATATATATATATATATATATATATATATATATATATATATATATATATAAATATATATATATATGTATATATATAGGTTATTTAGGTGGATAAAAACTGCATGAGGTGAGGTAAGATGAAAACTGCTGGTGCAATGGGACACAAAAGGCTTAAAAAAATAGTGATGTTACAGGAGGCCAGCTATTGTAGTGAGAGGCCACAGGAGACCAGTTAGTGCAGTGAGAGGCCAAAGGAGTCCACCCAGTGTAGTTAGAGGCCACAGGAGACCAGCCAGTGTAGTAAGAGGCCACAGGAGACCAGCCAGTGTAGTGAGAGGCCACAGTAGACCAGCCAGTGTAGTGAGAGGCCACAGGAGACCAGCCAGTGTAGTGAGAGGCCACAGGAGACCAGCCAGTGTAGTGAGAGGCCACAGGAGACCAGACAGTGTAGTGAGAGGCCACAGGAGACCAGACAGTGTAGTGAGAGGACAAAGGAGACCAATTAGTGTAGTGAGAAGTCATAGGAGACCAGCTAATGTACTGAGAAGTCATAGGAGATCAGATAGTGTAGTGAGAGGCCACAGTAGACCAGCCAACGTAGTGAGAGGTCAAAGGAGACCAGCCAGTGTAGTGAGAGGCCACAGGAGACCAGCCAGTGTAGTGAGAGGCCACAAGTGGCCAGCTAGTGTAGTGAGAGGCCACAATCCCACGTTATCTGCCTCACCCTCAGCTCAACACCTCCATCTATCATTTTTCATGCACTGGATATTTAGGGCCTGAGTTTCACCCTAATCATTCCACTAATATCTCTGTGTTTTATGTGAAGTGTCATATATTTATATGTATTTTGACAATAAAACAGGAAAAGGTACAAGAAAAAGATTTACTGAATCCTTATTTTAACAAAAGACATTCGAGTCATTAGACTGCAGAATTAAATAAACTTGAGCTGGTAATACAAGAAAATATGAGGAGTATTATGGAAGGATGTTCTAAAGGCCTGACAGCATGATGGGAAGATGTGTATACAGCACCCCAAGTCACTGTGGCGGGCCTTGTGTTCAGTCAATCTTCCCATTCCAACTATTTACAGCTGGCTGAACTGTGGATGCCCTAGTTATGAATCAATTACCTTTAAGATAATATGCGAGCGTTCTGCCAGCTCGGTCCCCGTACCCATTCATATTCATCAAAGGGGAATTTTATTCCTCATCACTGTTAAGTAGTGCAGCTAGTCATGGCAAGACATGGTTAACTTGTATACCTAAAAGAATGAGCTTCTCAATATTTACTCTTATGTGTGAATCACATCTACTCTGCTATTTCTTTATATTATCCACATAAAGACTCTGTGACATCTTATTAGCAATAAATGAAAGTGAGGATGAATTCTTAGAATATTTCATGAAGGTTTAAGGAAAGTTGAAGATACCGTAAAGTTTAATTCACATCCGATTATAATGAGCGTTTTTCACAAAAAAGTTGGGATGAAGGAAAGTAGCACCGGAAGAAGGGCCACATGAGTTAGATAATTGAATGAGAGATGATAAATATTAATTGACTCTTGTGAGGGAAACAAGATGATGATTGCAATTACATGGTTTGAACAACACGATAAGCATCTCTGTACATGGGTCTCACCCCAGGACAATGCAAACAACATAGTCAGGAATCATGTAGATTACATTTTAATTCAGGAAAAATTTAGTAAACCGAACCAAAACCTATCCAGGGGCAAATTGTGGGTCAAATCACGTCCCATTAATGAGTTTAATGAAGCTAAAACTTAAAAGATTAAAGAGAAAAAATTTGGACAAAATAAATTCGAATTTAGGAAAACTCAAAACAGAGAGTGTCTTTGATGAACAGGACCAGGACAACACTCTAATAATGACAAAGAAGTAATTTTAGAGACTGGGGAAAATACTTATAGGACATAGGAGGATCGAGGCTAAAAGTAAGTTAATAGCAATTGGATTTTAAAGAAAACGCATCGACGAAAAAAATGAGAATATGAACCAGAAAAAGGAAATATATACGTTAACACTCTATTAAAAGCAAAGACAATAAGATCCTGTTTGAGGCAGAAGATTTAAAAAGTAGATGAGCAGAGTACATAGAAGAAATATGCAATGACAAGGATGGAGTACAGATAAGAAACGAAAAGGAAATTGTAAGGGCGGAGACGATCCTCCGGCTGGTTACCGCTGCTAACTCGCTCGTTTGCTGGTGCAGACGACACTTGGGGTGGTTGGACAGAGGTGAGAACGGCAGCGACTATCTGCGTCGAGGCAGATTTAACCCAGCCGCCATACCGTCAGTATCTAGCTACCCTGCTGTCCGTCAAATTCTGGCTGTGATCTCATCATAGGTCCTGGACTCGTGGGCTGTGTTCCCAGACCTTCACCTATCAACTGCCAACTCTCTGGTCATCCACCACTACCGCATACCACTACCGTCAGTTCATCACATTCCGTCGGTGCCCCGGTGTTCTCCTGCCTTTTCAGGACGTCGCTGAGTGTGGAGTTGAAGTGGACGCTTCCCTACCCTGAGTGTGCATCACCGTGTTCCAGAACCTTCCCCCAGGGCCACTGCCGTATGTAATATTTGTTCATGGTTTGATTCTATAATTTTTTGATTCCATTAATTGCTGACTCCCCTTTATTGTTCGATTCTATCAATTGTTGACTCCATTTAATTGTTTGAATCCATTAATTGCTGGCTCCCATTATTTGTTTGATTCCTTTAATTGTTTGCTTCCTTTAAAAGTTTGACTCCATTAACTGTTGATTGCCTTATTTGTTTGACTCCCGTAATTATTTGATGTTTGTTGAGTGGTGTCAGAGTTTTGTGTTATATTTTTATAGTAAAGAGATGCCAATCTCTAACGGTTGTTTGTTATTCCTCAGATAACCATGGTCCTTGCCTTTCCTTTATTAAGATCCTGATTAGCTTGGTAAGGGATTTCTATCCCTAAGTCCCAGGTCATTTACAAGTGGCGACCTTGCCAGGATAGTCTCTGACCTTTGGTTTCTGAGGTTTAACATTCGTTCCCGTGTTGTTGTAAGTCGCCGTGAGCGCGCCACCTTGCTGTCTGTGGCCCGGAAGCAAGTGTTGTTCAGTGGTTATCCCTTCCTTCAGTGTGCTAATTTTGTTGCTCTCCCTTGTACTTGGGGAAGTTAATTAGTGTTGGTTGGGGTGCACTGTTGATGCTGTCGTAGCATTTTGTTGTTGTTGTTTCACCTGGTGCGGTTTCGTTACCCTGAGGGGATTCAGCTGGGCTGGGTGCGGAACGAGGTTCCCTCCAGTCGGTTCAAATCATTTACTGGTCTGATTGAGCCACTAGGTTAGTTACCTTTGGCTATTTGCGGGGTAAGTTGTTTGTTTTTTCCTTTGTTCTTGGCCTTTCGGATCATTGTCTGGTTTTGAGGTGTGGAAAGATCAAGCGGTGGCCCTGGGTCTGACAGGTAATGACATTGGTCAGTATGTGGTCACCCAACAGAATGTCGAGAGAGGAACGTCAGAGAGAGAGAGATGGAGGAACGTCAGAGAGAAAGAGTTCGAATTAGCTAAGTTGCAGGCAGAAAAGGACCTAGAACTGGCTAGGGTTAATGCTTCAAGTAGACCAGAATCCTCTGGCCATATACAAGACAATGTGGTAAAACCCAGCTTGCCTGTGTACCATGAAGAAGACATCGCCTCCTACCTTATTAGGTTTGAACGGGTAGCGGAGCTGCTTGGTGTAGCCCCAGATAGCTATGCTGTAAGGTTGGGTAGCCTACTGAGTGGTAAGCCGGTAGAAATTTACACGTCCCTGTTTGCCGACATCACCAGAGATTACTTCTTGTTGAAGCAAGCTCTCTTGCGAGGATTTTGCAAGACTTCTGACGGTTATCGTGTTGGTTTCCGCAGAACGAAGATTAGAGCGGGAGAAACGTACCAGCGGTTTTCGATTCACCTGGGTCGTTTATTTCAACAATGGCTGGAGACATCAGGGGTTGAAGAAACCTTTAAGTCTCTAACTTCATGATATTAGATCAGTTTTTGTCTTCTCTACCTCCAGACTTGAGAATTTTCATCAAAGAACACCAGCCAGCGACGCTTGGAGAAGCTGTGCTCTTGCCGACAACTGGGCGTCTGCTCGCAACGCCTTCCCCAAGTCTTCCCCTCCTGTAGTGAAGATTGCGAAGCCTCCGTCCTCCGAGGAAGCGTCCCCAGGAGTACACAGGAGTAGTCCACCAGCCGTGCGGTGTCACAGCTGCGGAGAAGGGCACATTCGTTCTCGCTGTCCCAGGAATCCCCTCGCCTTCAAGACTGCTGACACTCATCAACCCAGCAACAAGGTCGGATTCTGTTTGGAGGTCAGGAGCTGCCCCCGTTATTGTGTCAGTGGAACAATCAATGGGTCTAGGGCATCTACTTTCATCAGGGACACTGGTTGCTCGTGCATTATTGTCTCTGAAGAAGCCCTGCCTGACGCTGACATCTCCAGCTGCCCGAAGGTTAGTGTCGCCGATTATTTAGGTCGTGTTGACCAGTTCCCGGTTGTTAGGTGCTACCTGCGTTGCCCCTATTTCACTGGTTGGTCTAATGTGGTAAGAGCTCCCATTAAATTTGCTAGTGCCCTCATTGGTAATGTTCCCGGTGTTCGTGACCCTAACGACCCGGAAACGTTAAAACTCTCCTCGCCACCAGCACCAGTCTCCTCACCACCAGCACCAGTCCTCACGCCACCTGATGACGACGACTCGCCACCTGCCGAGGTCGCCTCGCCACCCTCTCACGCCGCCACGCCTGCCGCCAAGGTCCAACCTGTAGGGCCACGGACGGCGAAGGTGAAACGACCGCATCCCCTGATTCTGCCGAATTTGTTGCCACTGACTGTGACGCCCAAGGAGTTCGCCAAGCTTCAAGACTCGTGTGCCACTCTGAAGCGGGTAAGGGAGAAGGTGACTTCCGGGGAGGAGGATCAGGTGAGAGATGGGTCGGTTTATAAGTTTGTTTCTATTAATGGGGTGTTACACAGGTCTTGTTTCATCCAAGCGACCAGCTAAAGTAGGTCGGTTTTTACTTGTTGTCCCTGCTGTTTGTCGTAGTAACATTCTCTCTGTAGCTCACAAGAGCTCTCTTGTAAGTCACTGTTCTCGTAGGAAAACTTATAGGAAGGTTGCTGTTCAGTTTTACTGGCCAGGTATGGGAGCAAATATTAGAGCTTTTTGTAGGAGTTGTGATCAGTGCCCACGTATGTCCGCCAAGGGTAGAGTCCGTCCTGTCCCACTTGAACCCTTACCCATTGCAGAACCATCTTCTCGGGAAGCCATAGATTTAGTTGGACGGTTCTCGCCCCCTTCCTCTAAGCCTAAATTACATCAAGCTAATTTGTTAAGGAAATATAATTGCAGGACCCACATTGCTCGTGTCCTTGACGACGTCCCCAAGCTGGAGTTAGTCGAGGCACTACCTGCAAGAGTTCCTGTGAAGTTCGGACGCCAGAGTCTGTTTATCTCGGTTGCCAGTTGCTGCCAACATCTGACGAGTTAGAAGAATCCTCTACGACTGGAAATAGGCCCAAACTTAAACTTGGACTGAAGTGGACTCCACGTGCAGTTCCTTGATACGGCCTTACGTTTTGGACATAAAGTTACCACCTATTCTTTTCTATGACCCTTCTTTATTGTGCAATGTGTATTTAAGCATTTGTTGTAAGATGATTATGCTTTGTGTACTAATCTTAAGTTTTAATCTACCTTACAGTAGATTTTTGTTGGGAGTAGTGTAAGGGCGGAAACGATCCTCCGGCTGGTTACCGCTGCTAACTCGCTCGTTTGCTGGTGCAGACGACACTTGGGGTGGTTGGACAGGTGAGAACGG